TCATATGAATAAACAAATTAACCATAAAAGAATTTTTCAGTTTATACAAAAAAAAAATGCTTGCTGTTAAAAATAAAACGAAAACGTTCAAACGCCAATAATTTTAAAGCAATGAAATTTTCGGAATTTTAATGATAAAAACAAAAAGAATACAGTTATTCCACCTTATTCATATGGATTACATTCCGCAAACATTTCGCGGATAATAAGACAAGGTATATTATACGATAGCACTCCATAAAAATATAGCTATTACTGATCAATGATCGACATTCCTTTAGCGGAGATAAAAGAATTTCACTTAATGACTTCAGAAATTACAAATTCATCTGATATACCAATAAACACACACCCTGCTCAACGATTTGAACTGAAATATCGAACTGAGATTCTTTGTAAAAAATAGAATGCAACTATCGGACTTCATAAAAAATATCAATGCGAGTGCAACCCGGCGCGATGCAAAACAAGAATAAATAAATAAAGCTCCAATTGAAGTACTGTATTTACATTAAAAAATTTTCTTTGAATATATGATACGAGAATGTTACTTTTGAAACTGCCGCCTCACCTCCTCACCACACGTCTACCATCACCCACATACCGTCCCTTATTCCTTGTTTACCTTGACTTGAGTCGAACTGACTCGTCCTTCCCCCTGTCGAGAAAACTCACATTTTATTCACTTCTTTGATCATATAAAAATCTTTATCATCAAAATTCTAACGTAGGGAGAAATTCTAATTTCAAATTTGATTTTTTGCATACTATCGAATCTAATAAATATTGTTTCAGTTACATATTGTATTTTTTAATACAATATTATTGTATTTGTTGCGTTATTTTATACTTGAAAAATGCTATTAAACTAAGTGAATTTGTATTTATGATTAGAAATTTATATTCAATTATATGAAATTCTTATTCTACATCACAGTGACATCATCTTGTGGACATTTGCTATGAATACAATAATGTAATAAATGTAATAAATTTTTCAATTCGAATAATTTAATGTAATGTAAAGTGTTTTTAGCATTTCTAGTAATTAATTATTATCATAAAAATCGTTAAAGCATAAATAAAATAAAATGTTTTTTCCCCCTGATAAAAACACGAATAGAATATAAGCATTAATAGAGATAACCTTTCTCTAAAAATAAATTTAAATTATCGACTTTCAACTTTTTCAAGTCGTCGTCTGCACGAAATCAGTGTAATTTATACAATTGACAGATAGAATAATAAAAATGCAAATTTAATTTTAAAATACTTGTCTAATTTAATACAATAAAAATGTCAACTTTAATTTTGGGTATATTCAAAATAGGTTAGGTAAACTTAACAAACTTGAACTCAAGAAAAGACGACATTGTAATAGAAAAAAATCTGTTGTATTTGTTTTGTTATTTTGTATTTACTAAGAAGTATCAAAAAAATATCATTGTTTTGTGAAGTTGTGTGAATTAATTCAAAATATTGACCGGCTATAGAATAATATATAAAACTTCGATTTAACACTTGATAACTCTAAGATCGGAAACTTTTGGTAAAGTAAACCATCAGAATGGTTCAGAGTGCCAGTTAAAAGCTAGTTGATGCCAGGGATAGATGGAGCTGTCGGGAAATTTCCGTAGGCTCCGGTGGACTGATCCCTTTACATTCATAAGCGCATGGGTCAGTCCATATATTTCCCAAACTACTTACTTGAACAAGGCCCATCCGCCCATGGTTCACACTCTGCAATGTTCGCGCATTTTTGTTGTTTGACTTTAAGTAACATAGAAATTGCACCACAAGCGACAAGGTCGAACCAACCAGTTGAACTCTATCGTTTGCCGTTTGGGAATTGATCCAATGAACATTAAGATTGTAAAACGTGATGATCTAAGTTATTTCCATTCATTTAGTATCATTCGCCATTTTTCTGTTTATGGCACCCCAACGAACAAAAATTAATCGCGAGGTTGATTTATGTGACAGTTACCGAGTTATTAAATTGGCAGTTGTCCAAAATTTACTCGATAAAACACTAGAATTAATATTCGTCGAAATCATTCGTCCAAAATGTTTGAATAAACTTATTCTCAAGAAAATGTTTAATTTTAAACAATATATATTACATATTTTTATCAATTAATCACATGGGAACTTAATGATTAACAATAAATTATTCCTATTTCTGTTGCTTCTGGTACAGTTATTTAGTCAATAATTGCTACAGGTAATAAACAAAATGCGAAAGAATAATGAATTTGAATTTTTGAAATTTCAAATTGATCGTCTTACAATAGGGAAAGAAACTATCTCTGATTGGGATACTTCCATTTCTGAAGGCCCGGAGATATAAAGTGAAATTCCCTTCATTCCTTCCTCGAATCACACCTTGGTTACACGGAAGACAAAATGTAATGTGATTTTATAATCTGAACGACGAAAATAATAATAAGAATAAGAATAATGAAAGTTTGTTTGGAATTGCCAGCGAATTAATTATAAATGTAATATTTAAGTATTATTTTTAACGTTCAATATTTCGTTTTTCTACTGTTATAGTACTGGAACTTGCAGCGTGCCATTGTAATTCGCTCTGCATGCCACGCTTGGCATGCATGCTATAGGTTGATGATCTCTGAGACACAGAATAATTTTTATATTCGTGTGTATTTATTTAATGACATTAATATGTACTGTACATCTATGACGTACATTATTATTAACACGCATTTGTCTGTATTTTAATAATTGTTTGTGATTATACTAAAATCTCAAGTTCTATTATTCTTATTCTTGTGCAGTGGTCGAATTTTTTTTTTACTCTTTTCGCCTTGTGGGTACTTAGACGGCATTCTTCACACCCATCGTGGGTTCAACTAGGCACAAAATGAGACGGCCTATTCGAGGGTCAAGACTAGATATATTTTTGGGATGGATCACCCAAGAAAAATTTCTCGAGTGGACGCGATTATGGCTAGTGTGCCTTACTCTTCAACTTCGAGTTTGTGGAACTAGTAGAAATAACTACTTCTATTTGGAACAATATTGTAATGGTGCTCATAAACTCAACTACTCAGGTCGGTTAGCCGAGCGGTCAAGGTGGCAGCCTACCGCAATCGAATCCGGACGGATCAAAAAAGCTCCAGGAATTTTTCAGGCGGTGGTCCGTCCGAAGACGTTGAGCCTCGTCCTTCATTACCCGGCCATTCCATTGTGATCCTGGCCGAACCCATAAACCTGCTAAAAGAGGCCTTCTTAATGCCCACAGGACGGAAAGAGTTTAAAAACCGAACTATGCTGTGCTTGGCAAAAGCGCTTAGTTTGCCGAATATACTCCATTAAATGACCCACCGATACCTGAGGATCAAAAATATTCGCCAAAGTTATCTGTTAAAGTTATCTGACTACTGGAATCGGGAGCGCTATGCGCAGTACTCATCTCTCCTTCTTGCAGTGCTTACAAGATAGACAATAATAAGCCATCGATTATTTATCTCTAAATAGAGACACTCCAGAGATTACCATATGAAAAGAAAATAAAAACGTTCTTAACGAGACAGCACTCATGTGAAATCAAAATAAAAAGATTTTGCCGGGAGAGAAACTTTTCCTCGAAGGAACAGGCAACAACGTATCCAGAAATCTTTAGATGGGAATAGAAAGAGAACAGTATGCCTTACAAAACTTATTTTCGAAAGAACTTGACAAAATTTATCTGATTTTAAATAAACTTAATTTGCCTATTATCATCCAAACGTCGCCAGGTCTAGACTGGGGCTCCCTATGTATGACTATTATTAAAAAAAAAAAAACTTAAATGCAAATAAGGAGTATAATCTTCATTAATCACCAGCTTTAATCCCAGGAACTTTTCGGCTGGTGGTCTGAACCCCAGGAAATTTTTCGGTTACCACTTGACCGCCGTATTGTTGACCTGGCTAACTTCATAATGGTTTACTTAAAATTGCTCTCTTAATGACCACAGGGAGAAAAAAGTTTTAAAAAATGTCGCCAATTTCACTATCACTTTCTTGATTACTTTGTACATACTCATTAAAATAGATGTTGACATTTTAAAAACAAGAATCCTTAAAATAACTATAAAATAAAATTACAAATAGCAATTTCATATAATATTCTGTTGCCAGAACTTCATCAATTCATTAAAATAGATGTTGACATTTTAAAAACAAGAATCCTTAAAATAACTATAAAATAAAATTACAAATAGTACTTTCATATAATATTCTGTTGCCAGAACTTCATCAATTTTCTGAAAAAGATCTTTAGATTTAGAATATAAAAATCAGCGAAATTTACTGATATTTTGTTGAAACTTTCTAAAACAATAGGATGAATTGGCAGGTAAGCAAAAAAGACGTTGATTTGACGGTAGCCTTTAACCTGGTTTCCCCTGAGTGGAATTGAGTGTACACGAAAGTACACAGGATTTGCTGGATATTGAAAACTATTGATACTAACCGATAACTTGACGCTAACAAGAGGCTATTCTATCTATACTGGAACCATCCTTCGTTCAAAAAGTAAGACTTAATATATTTTCATTAAATTATTTCAAAGAAAATTTTTCGGAGATATATATTTTGATTATGAATTAATTTAACATAATAAAATAATTCAATCTATAGCTCAAAAGTTTCAATTTTTTCTTACATAATTTTTACATATAAAACCTGTACTTAGAAAACTATATAAGTTTGTATATGTTTACATAGACGGCAGGATGGCCGGCGGTCAAGGTGGCAGTCTACCGCCCCCGGGGACCCGGGATCGAATCCAGACGAGTCGAAAAATCCCCAGGAATTTTTGGAGTGGTCTGTTTGGATATGTTGGTCCCCTTCCCTCACCATCCGGCCCAACCCATAATAGGTTTGCTAAAAAGAGGCACTCTTAGTGCCCACAGGTGTGAAGANTATTATAAATAAATAATTTTAAAAACATCTTTTAATAGATGGCATTGTATAGTTGACGATTGTGACGTAAGGTTATACGAGTAAAGAAAACGAGGTGATTGGCGGAACGGAATATATGAAATTTAACCGTTTGAGTGTGGTTGTCTGATTAGTTGTCGTATGTTAGCATTGCGTCGACGAAGTTTCTAACAAATGAGATGTTTTTCAACTACAATCAAAATTTGTTTACTATTTATATGAAATGTTGACTGTGAAAATATTAAAAAAATGAAGAGGTGTCGACTCTTTCGTGCTAATGTTTGCAAAGACTAAAAATACATTTATATATATTATGAAATTTCGATCTGGTTTTTCCATTCGATTTTGATTTATTTCTCTTTCTGGTCGAAATAGAATTTTGAATGATGGATAATCATTTCAACAAGGATATAGTTCACATCGCAGAAATTATTAAAGGTAAATCCACAGTTTCTGTATTTCTTTTACTTTTGTTTACATATTTGTATTGTTTTGAAGCCAATCTACGTTACATCCACTTATCTTAACTACAATTGGTTCGTTGCCAAATCTTTAGTAATAATCGAGTAATCACAACTCCTGTAATCTGATGACGTAAATAAGTGGAAATTTGTAGAAACCCGTCGTTTTACTCTCACGTTTCAACCTGTTTATAGTGGTTAATAGGTTAAATTTTACAGGATGGCGAGATGTTGGCTTATAACACTGTGTGGTTTAAGATAACGTAAACAACAACGTGTTTGTATTTATATGGCAATTATTGTTTTATAAATAACAAAGATTATAATATTCTGATATATAGTCCAATAAAATAATTTGTTTTTGAAAATTCAATAACTTAAACAGTCAGATATATTAATTTTATTATCACTTAATAGTGTATGAGGGCGGGTTCTTTTTTCAATCTCTGATGGTCCATAAAACAAAGACAAGTGTAAATAACAAAATGAATTTATTACCAAAAGTTGGGTACAAACGCTGTTACTTTTTGACATAGTCGCCATGAAGATTGAGGCATTTGTATATGTGGATGAGCTTTGAAATCCCCTCTTCAAAGAATGTTGCTGCCAGTGGCTTAAGATGGGACAGAGGTTTGAGACTAATGATGATTTTGAAAATCTTCATTAGTCTTGAACCTCTGTCCTCCTAACCACATTTTTAGTTCAGGAAAGAGGTGGAAGTTGCTTGGTGCTAAATCGGGGCTGTACGCTGGGTGTTTAAAAAGTTCCAAGCTAGGTAGAAGTTTGAAAGATGAAAGTCATCACACCTTTAATGTGTGAAGACTTCCTGAACTGAAAACTTGTCTAGCGGAGCAAAGGTTTGAGACCAATGACAATCTTCGAAACAACATTAAGACCCATCTCGAGTCACTGGTGGCAACATTCTATGAAGGAGTATTTCGAAGCTCGTCCACATATAGACAAATGCCTTCGTCTTCACGGCAATTATGTCAGAAAGTAACCATGTTTGTACCTAACTTTTGGTAATAAATTCATTTTGTTATTTACATTTGTCTTTATTTTTATGGACTGTTGGAGGTTGGGGAAAAAACAGCCTACGTATTTAATCATATATTAAATACAGTAACTTTCTCATATTTAAAACAGTTTTGATGTATTAAACTAACATCACATAAAACAATTTAAAAGACATTAAATCTATTTATTGCGCCATATTATGTAATGTGATATTGGCGCATTAAAATACTTCAAAATTTGACAAATGTATTCATTTTTAATGTATAAAATATCTGATATTAACATTCATAAAACAATTCGTAATGAGATTTATTGGATATATTAGCAATTATTATTTTTAAAGGTGACCCTTTTCTATATTAATAAAGCTATATTACAAGTGCTTAAAGGATAGAAATGTATGATATATATTTTAAATTTACATTCAAAATTTTACTAAGTGTACATGTGTTTGAATTGCTTTATCTTATAATGTAATCGAGATGGGTTGATAATAAGTGCAGAGCCCAAACGGTTAGAAGTTAAAAGTTGAAATTTGGTAGCTACGACCAACAATTCTGTGGGTGCTGGGCGATCTGATGGTCACCCACTGAATGCTTTCAATATGCTGTTAGTGCAATCATTACAAATAAGTTTAATTTACATAAATTTGAGCTTTTGTTATTCTTACACAGTTAGGGTATGTCATGAGAATGCACACTAAGAAGAATTTTACAAAATTCTCCCCCACTGGGGAGAGGAAGAGGATTAAGGATTACCCTGAAGAACTCAGCTCTACTGTACTATTTTAGATACGGTTTTTTGCATTTTTGCTGGAAATCAAACATAATTTAAACTCATCTAAAAATTCTCTAATTATCCTTGGAAGAGGGGGACCTAATTCTTGCCTATGGTGAAAACGGGTAAGATCGGCTATTTAAGATAACCTTTGTAGTTATATAAACCAAATTCCCTAATATAATACAGTAAAAGAGTTAGAAGTACAAAATTATCTAACCTTAATGTTTGTTTTTATTTTTTGCCCGGGCAACACTGGGTTTACGTGCTAGTTATTTGATAAAATTATAAACTTATTTATGCTAATATACCTAACAAATATAAATTTATTTGCTGAATTAATATAATTTATACATTTAATCAATTAAGTAGACTATAAATCAATTGATTAAATATAAAATAATTCTACAAGTCATAAATATGAAGGAGTACTGTTTGATTATCATTAATTCTCAATTAATTGTTAACAATAAATCATTTGTAGCTCTAATTTTTTTAAATTGAAAAAAAATAAAAAACTAAGATGATAAAATTTTATGGTGTNTTTTTTCTTGATAAAGACCATTGAATATGGTCGAAAACGTTTGAATTTATCTATTAAATTATGGCTGCATATGTAAAGGTTTGTTTGAGTGTATTTATTTTTTAATCTAAATTTTTGAATTTAAAAATTTCTATAAAATTGAAATCATAATGGATTTTATTCCTGCAATTCCATTATGATTTCTGAATGATTTTCTTTAAAATGGCCGTCACTGATCATTCTACATAATTGGGACTGAGATATAACATACAGTAATACCTTGACTTACACTACCCCATAGTTATGCATTTTTCAAATCTCGTAATTCGTCTTTTGTTTGAGATCCATGCAACTCTTGATTACTTACTCCCCCCACACTATTGTTCAGCTTACATGTTTGGAGGTGTTGCGCGGAATCGACACATAGCTACAATTTATTTTGTGTTATTTATTTTTGTGTTTGTTATATCTATGGAGACTTGAGAGACTCTATGTGGTGATTTCTTGTAACCGTGAATGAATCAAAAGACGAGATAAGATTAACGAGAACATTTATTAGCTTATATACAACCGACTTGGATTTTACACAAATTGCAAAATTATACCACGACTTATGCAGTTATCGCTTGGTTCCACCTGTCGCGTAAGTTTGGGGTATTACTGTATTGTCTTTCGATGTGTCAAATATAGCAAAGTAAGCCATAAAGCCCTTTAAAGGTACAGTACACTTTACTGTCATGTCCAAATACACCCTTTTGCCAAATATAATCAAAATTAAAAAATACAAATGTTTATGGCCTTGTTGAATGCATTTTTCTGAGATTTTTATTGGGGAAAGCTGAAAATGTCAGGAAATTAAAACATGAATATGGGTAGCCAATAAAATTTTCATGAGAAATGTTCTTGATTCTTTCTTGGGTTAATAACTTACAATAATATTGTCTGTATTAGTGATGTGCCGGATATCCGAGGGAAAAAAAAGATCCATATTCGTATCCATATCCGTTACTTTTTAGCAGATCTTTAACGGATCTTTTATCTTAATGAATTTCATTACTTATATGAAATTTTAAAGATAGGTAGCAATAAAATACTAATAACTTCAATTCAAATCGCTTTTTGTATCTTAAAATCACATATTTGGCACATTCACATTGCAAAAATTTTATCATGCAAAATTCATTTACTATCATAAAATATTTCCATATTACACTACTAAACTTTTTTGTTGACATTGTTTTTATTTTAATTTAATTCAACACTCTCCAAAAATACAAACATAATCTATGCTATTCCATATCACACTAAACTATAAACAAAAATGTACAGTGCAAGTCGAAACATGTCGCGTTACTAACGCAAAGCATCAACTATTGGTCCAAGGTCACACGCACCTGCGCTGACAGAGTACAAAAGTTGAGAACTGTATCCATATTCGCGGATCTAGACACTAATGATCCATATCTGTATCTGTATCCGCGGATATACATTTTTAACAATCCGGCACATCACTAGTCTGTACAAAAATATATGCATTTTAAATAGTTATAGAATATTGACAAATATTTTGTTTTACTCATTTATTAAAATTATATTTTATTAATGAAAAATCAAAACAATAGACTATTACTAAAACTTACTTTTAAAACATGATATATCAATATTAGCAAGTATATTTTAGCACTTTGATGACATCTTTTATTATGTTTTGTATAGTTATGTGCCAAATATCTTTTTCAGGATTTTGTCATAAAAAACTTTTACAACATAAAATTTTTATTTTTAGATAAAATATAACAAAAATAGATTTATTCTTTCCCAAGTTCAAAAAGAAAATTCATTTGAAACAGAAATAATTCTTAACTTTCCTGTTGGCAGTTTAGAATGTATAATCAAACCTGGATAGAATGCCTTCTATATAGCATCATTCTCATGGAGTGCAAATGAATATTGTTAATGATTTTTCTTATAAATGTTAAATAGAAAACATTCAGTATCTGTGAATTACTAAATGTATTATTTTGCATTGTAAATGACACCATTGTTCTTAAATTGTATGATTTTCAAACTCTCAAACTTATATGTTGACCTCATTACTATATACACTATATTTATTGTTTGAGGTACTTTAGTTTAGCAACAAACTTGATTTAATGTTAATTTTAGATAGTAAAAACTGGCATTAAATTAAAGTTTGAATGCTCATTAATTATACATAAACTCTCACACCATGAAATTTTTATAAAATTTGCTATTAAGGTAACCAAACATGATCAAGGTTTAAATTATTAGTTTCTGAATATTTAGTCACATCATTGTTAATATGTAGAGGTATGGGATTAAAGTAGATTTATTCTTAAGTCAACAGTATTATATAATTTTGACATCTACAGTACTACGTCACTAGTATTTTATTCATTATTTTATGAAAATTTAACTATTTTTTTTGATAGTTTTATTATATGATTACAAGTTTAAGAAAGTCAGTGATTATGCCAAATGCAATTATCAATAAAAGAATATTATATAAGAATGAGAAGGAACAAATTTTTAATTCCCTGTTTCATAATACTGCTCTACATAGAACTATAAACAAAATTATAATGTTTTATGCTTTATAGAAGGCAGGGTCATATTAATCTGGAAATCAGGGAAAAATA